AGTCACGTGACGGTGCCAATATGGCGGCGCCGTGGCGGCGGCGCGGCCGCTGAGGGAGGTGCGGCCCTTCCGGGCAGTGCCGCGGGCCCCGAGTGCTCGCCCGGCTCTTGCTCCCGGCCCCCGCCCCGCTCCCGGCCTCGTCATGCAGCCACCAGCTCGAGAGCAGGACGCCCGCACTAAAAGCATGTTCGTGTCGCGGGCCCTGGAGAAGATCCTGGCGGAGAAGGAGGCGAAGCGGCCCCCGCACGGGCAGCTGCGGAGAGCCTGCCAGGTGGCTCTGGGTGAGTCGGCCCGGGCCGGCCCGCACAGGGCGCGGGGTGCGCGGCGGTGGAAGGGGCTCAGCCCTCCGGCACATATCCCCTCGCGTCCCGGCGGGGTGCGGGAGATCCTCTCGGGACCTTGCAGTGGAGGGAGTCCTCTCTCCAGTACAGGACATGCAAATACGAGGGGAAAACCCCCAAATACCGGTTTTATTAAGTTCTGATCTCGGTATGAAACAGGGGGGACTTGATCTTGCCACTTCGGTTTTGAGAAAATTAATTGCAGCTTTTAGAGTAGGAAACGAGAATTTTTGAGGCCCTCGATTTATGGAGTCGCAGAGCTTCTCGGGATGTTAAATCTGACCTCTAATCTCCAGATCGTGTTCGGACTGGCTAAGGACTGTAGCGCTGTGGCCAAGTACACATAGTATCTGTGATTTCAGAGCTGAAAGTGCTTTTTTTGAAGTTAGTGGACTGGTCCTGAAATCTGCAAGTACAAGCCTATGTGAAGGTCTTCGTGTTAAAAGTTCTGACAGCATATGGTGTGTCACAGAGAGGGAGAAGATAAACTGAATACAACAGTAGAGCTCTGCAGCTGGAGTTCTCTGTGGCTCTTTCTTAATTTGCAAAAGTGACATCTCTTTCAGTTTTGGTTGCTTTCCATCAATATTTTCCTTTGAATTGGGAACATTTAATGTGTCCAAGACAGAAGAAAAGACAGGTTGGGTATGTAAGGAGGCCGGGCAGGTGCAGGTTCTGTCCCAGGAAGAGTGAGAGTGAGCTTAAAGAAATGCTGTCATTTTTATCTTCCTCCCTGTAGTCTTTACTGCCAGGAGATCTGTAGGAGCTGCCTGTAGTGACACTATATCCATAGAAAGGCAGCCAGATAGAAGGATATTTTAATTATTATTTGAAGTTGGCAATGTGAGCAAGAGAGTAAGACATATGCCTCAGAAGTTAGAGACTGCTTTCCTGATGAATTCCTTTTCCTCATCTGCTTTCCTGATCTCTTCCTCAACTGCCCCCACGTTTACAGGACAGAACCTGTTTTGCTGCTATGTGAATATATTTAGAGGTTGAGAAAGGGAACTTCCTTGTAAGATGCCTAGTGCAGGTCTGTGTTTGCTGAGCGGGCGATGGTTTTGGGAAGAGTGTTGTGCAGTAGCCCCCATTGGCACCCGCCTCTTGGTGGGTTATGGCTATGCCATGCCTGCACGTGCTAAGGTACACTCTGTTGGAGGGGAGCTAATGCCTGTGATGGTGGATGTTTCTTTCTAAACTTGCTTTGAAAAAGAGTCCATGGGCTTTGCAGAGGTCAGCATAAAGAGAGAACCTTCTGTTGACCAACTGTTAGAGGCCTGGGTGAGTGAATGGGAGGATCTCTGTTACATTTGGTGAATATTATTTGGTCATTTTAAGTTGCCAACAGGAATGGGATTTGGTTTGTTTATGTGCGATTTTTTGCCCCCAAACTTTATTCTATTTTGGTTAAGCCCTTTTTATTCCCTCAAGTGAAAAAAGTCAGTTTTATTTCCATATACTTAATTTTAATTAAGCTTATACTTTGTATTAACTAAGACTATGACAGTTCCAAAAGTGTCAACTGAATTTTCGAGCTCTGTGCAATAGTACATATGTGAGGAAACGTGGGAAGAATGTTACAGGCAGTCTGAAGAATTATAACCTACACAAACTGTCATGGATGAAAGAATGTTGTGAATAATAATAAAAAGTCCAGTTAACACGGAATGAAAATAATTCCGTTTGAAAAAAATGTAGTTACTTTATGAAAGTGGTCATTGTGTCAGCTGTTGTCTGCTGCACTTTTCTCCAAGTTATAATTTGAATAATCCATTTCTACTTCTTACTAAATCCCTTTTG